ATGGCAGACCCCCCGGGAGCCGTCATCAGAGGGGAGGCCGTGCCGTGGTGCCGGCGGGGAGGGTTAACGCGCTGACGCCCAGAAACCGATGTCGAGAGATTTTCCCTTGTGATTAAAATGCAGGACAGTGCTGCACATTCACCAGCCCCCCATTTCGAATGACCCCCATTGCTTCTCCCCACAGCCTGCGGGCAGCGCATCACGCCTGGCTCCCGGTCGCCCGCTGCTTAACGGCAGAGGAGCAATGCCCCTGCACCCCCCGCCCTCAGTCCACCGCTCCATCCAAATATTGTGGGAAACGTTACCAACGGCTGCAGTGAAAACAGAGGCTGTGTCGGGGAGGAGAAGGGGAAACGCGCTGGGTTCCGCAGCCGGCGTGGGTGTGGGGAGAGCCGGTGGCTCCGGCTCTGCGGTGGCCGAGGGGACCCTGTTGCCCACCCGCCCAGTACCCTCCGTCCAGCCGGGAACGATGTAAGAGCTCCCTCGGGTTTGGGAGCACCTCCCTCGTCGCCTGCGGGAGGGTTTTAACTTTACAGGCTCCTTGGAGACAGTTAAGCAAGTTTCGGGTGTTTTGCAGTGCTAAAGCAGAGGGGCCTGGGAGCTGAAGATGCACGGGGAGGTCCGTGAGTTAATATTTTTTCCTGCCCTTCTTCCACTTCCTTGCGGCCGGGCTGAAGCTAATCCAGAGCGCGATCGGAGAGCGTTTGGCCACAGTTATTTCCGGTTTTATTTTGTTGCCTTTTTCCTGTTCCACTAAAAGACGAGACAAAATTAATTTGCTCCTAATCTGGGAAAGCAGCCGGCAGGGCTGACCGCCGCCGCTGCCTACGCCCCGGCCGGGCGCCCAGCACGGCTCGGCCATGTGGGCTGTGTTTGTACACAGATGAGTAATTCGCTCACCCGGAGCCAGCGCCGGCGATAACGCAGCATCCGACCCAGCCCCGCTCCCGGGAGCAGCGGCGTAAGTACCGGCCGCTCTGCTTTCCCCCCCCCTGCATCATTTCGGCTGGCTGCTTTACACGCTGCCCCGGGGGTGCCGTGGGTTTGCACGGCATGAGCTCGCCTGCGGGTCCGCCCCGGGAGGCCGGGAGTTTTTCAGACGCGCCGGGAAAAGATGAAGGGGGGCAAGCGCTGCGTGCCGTGGGGCCGGG